GGATGAGGAAGGTCCATTCTCTTACTCCCCAGGGAGTTTCGGGCCCAGCAGGGCGGCACCCGGAAGCATGCAGCTCCCCCACCAGGAAGCTCTCCCAGGCCCTCCTCTTGGGTTTGCACAGAGGCTTGTTGACCGAGGCAGGACTGATTGAGTCACGGCCATGGGTGACAGATTCACCTGCCCCTCTCCTTCCTGGAGCTCGGAGGGGGGCGGGGGGACTAAAGGTTCCACCCCTGCTCATGGTTTTCCTGGCAGCCACTCCCAGCTGGTGGGGTTTCCACACTCACCTCCCTCTCTGAGGTGATTTCAGGAACTGAGGACAAGAGACCAAATATATATATTTAAAATATATATTTATTGATTTCAGAGAGGAAGGGAGGAGAGAGAGAAACATCAATGATGAGAGAGAATCATGGATCGGCTGCCTCCTGCACGCCCCCTACTGGGGATCGAGCCCACAGCCCGGGCATGTGCCCTGACCGGGAATCGAACCGTGACCTCCTGGTTCATAGGTCGATGCTCAGCCGCTGAGCCACGCCCTGGTGAGACCAAATGTTATAACAAAAGGTGCCCTGATTGTGCTTCTCTCTCAGGAAGCCCCAAGGGTTTGGGCAGCTGTGAGCCAGGAACCACGGACAAAGACCAAACATCTATTTCTTATCACAACCGTCATTTCTCTAGACGTGCCGTGTGGGTGATATTTCTGCTGGACTCTTCGTGGAGGAACCTCTGTGGCCCAGTGAGTGTGAGAGCCTCGGGCCAGGTCCTTCCTTCGTAAAGGCTCTGAGAAGTCGTGCAGGGCAAGCCCGTTTGATTTTGTTCAGTACAACATTTTCAAGCAGCATGAATTTTTTTCCCTCTTTTAATCCCCATGAATACCCTGCAGACCTCGATTCCCAGGAACTTGCTCTGGGAAACCCTGGCGTGGCCCCGCACAAGGCCGTGGGGACAAGCTGCTCCCGCCTCCTGATCGAAGGTCAGGACACCAGTCATGCCACTTGAGATTTGATTAGAGAAAGCATTTTGGCTTCATTAAGGTTCATTAAATGAGCCATCCAGTGCCATTTAGCTGAATAAAAACGGCTCAAATGGCTTTAGCCCCCCCACCCCCTTTTAGAGCAATTTAATTGAGGAAAAGCAAATATGTCAGTGATGCAGACAAATATCTCTTGGCCTTCGAGGGGAACATCGCAGGCTCTGGGTTTTCGGGGCCCGGCAGCAGGCCTTGGTGACGAGATGGCGTGGTGCTTGCCTCCTTCCTTCCACTTCCCCCTGAGGAGAGGATGGCGGTGAGGCTGACCGTGCGGGAAGCCACAAGGTCAAGGCTGAGGAGGTGTCAGGTCCCCGCTCATGGAGACGCAGGTGGCATCTGTCAGCCTCCTCCTTCTCCCGCGGGTTGTTCCTTCCAAGCGCACTCTCTGTGGGGTTGGGGCTGCCCCGTGGGGGGGGGGGATGTCCTCCTTCCCTGACCTTTCCTCCAGGGTCTTCAGCAGTTTCAGAAGAATCCACCCGACATGGAGGGGCAGGGGGCTACTTCTTCCAGGGGGAGATGAGAAGAAGACAGACAGACAGCTGAGGGGCTGGTGGGTCTTAAGGGAAGGAGAATGGCACCTTTCCAAGGGCTGCCTTCGTGGGTGAAGGAAATGAGGTTTATATCATGTGCTTGCAGCCTGTGAGCCATAGGCCCTGGGCACCCGTGAGCTGGGCGGGGCAGCCTTGCTGGTGTCTGGCCAGCTGTGCTTGGCGCTCTGAGCCCACACTGCACTCAGAAAAGGGTCTTTTGTAAGAGCAGAGAGATCCCCACAGAGGTCAGGGACCGTGGCATCCGCCTCTGAGGCAAGCGGAACAGACCGCTGGTTCTGGTCTCTCTGTTAACAGGAGGAGACTGGTGTGCCCGGGGAAGCTGACCGAGTGGACAGAGAGCAGATGGGGGCTCAGGGGCTGGAAGCTAGAGTGACCGGGCGCAGACGGAGGGAGGGAGGGACAGACTCCTGATGCAGAGGCTTTCAGGGGTCGCAGCTGGACAGTCAACTTGGAGTCGATGCTGCGGGGGCTTCTCTGTCTGCCCAAGGGCTGGAGGCACCGGAAGCTGCGGCCCTGGGTGAGCAGCACCCGCTGCGGTGTCCCCGCCCCGCCCTCTCTAACTTGTACGATAATGCGATTCCTTATTCTTTATTTGCCCGGAATGCCTGTTATTTTAGTTCTTTCAGAATCCAATTTTCTCATGACATTTCTGCCTATCGTAGCAAAGCATGACCTTTGCCAGGGGACATTGCCGGCCGCCTGCGCCTGCCTCGGCCCCGACGGTCCTCCCGCCCCACCTGGACCTCTCTGGTCTCGCCCCCTCACCCCCTCACCCCCTTCCAGCTTCTGTTCCCAGGGCTCAGCGATCCGATCCGGTTCCGGTGCTGAGGGCTTTGGTTCAGGGTGCGCTGGGGTGGGGTGGACAGCGCGGGGGGCTGGCCTTGTCCGACATGTGCTGCCACCCACGCTGCTGTGGTGGACAGCCAACCAGGGAAAGACTTGCCCTGGAGAATCCCTCACATGTACTGGGACATCACAGGGGCTAGTGGTGATGGAGACTCAAAGGCTGATACCGAGCTTGTTGCCCTTGACCAAGTGGTCCCTGCCCTTCTCTGCTGGCCCCTGCACCCTCGGCACGGGGGCTCCCTCCCTACCAGCCACGGGCTGTCCCCAAAGACAGGGCTGCCTCAGAGGGGAAGGGCCAGCCCCGGCCTCAGGCTGACCTGTGTTTGGACGCCTGCTCCTGGGTGAGCTGTGGTGCTCGGGGTCTCACCAGCCTCCACGTCTCCCACGGCCATCGATGCTCCCCTTGGCTGCCCAGCGGGCACCTCAGCATTTGCCAGGGGGGCTCTCAGTCCCCCCAGGCGTGACCTTGGCAGCTTTCCTCATGTCACTGATGCCGCCACCGCTCGCCGGGCTACTCAGGTCCCTCTCCTTCCTCTGCCAGTTCCAACCCAGTAGGAAGTCCTGGCGGCTCCACCCCCAGCACCTCGACTCCATCCCCTGGTGACCTCTGCTCCCTCTCCTGCCTGCAACAGCGCAGCCGCCTCCTGAATGCGCCCAGTGTTGTCCTCGGTTCTTAGAAACGCCCATCAGATCCTGCCCTGCCCTTCAGAACCCCCGTCGCCTCCCCGGCTCCTTAAAATACAGCCCAACTCCCTGCCATGCCAGCAAGGGGGTGCAGCACGCCCCCCTCCTCCTCACCCCAGACGGCTCTCTTCTCTGCCCAGGCCCCGCTCAGGCCTTGGCCCACGCTCCCTCCACTTCCTGGAGCACTGCTCCCTGGCACGGCCCCTTCCCCCTCCTCTCCTCCAGCTCCCCTGTGACCCGCAGAGGCCACTGCACTGGCCCGCGCCCAGCTGCCAGCGCCCTCTCCCGCCCAGTTCCTGGCCTCCCTGGGTCTGTCCCCGGCCTCCGCTCAGCACAGCTGCAGTTCTCGTGGCTCCTCATTCTTACCTCCAGCGCAAGTTCCCGAGGGGCCCTATCAGCCGTCCACCCCCGCATTCCTCAGGGAAGCCTATATTTGTCTCTACGCAAATATTTGTGGGAGAAGCCCTCTAAATATAGACGCACCTGTGAGCGTACGTGCATAAGGGTGTGTGTGTGTGTAAGCAGGTCTCTGTTTGCATCTATTACCTCGCGTCTAATAGACACAAACACACACATTGTGTGTGCGCATCCACGCGCGTGCAGGTGTTCACCTGAGTGGGTCCTGACCCGTCACCATCGCTGCCAGATGAGAGCAGTGCTCCTTGCAGGTGTTCACCTGAGTGGGTCCTGACCCGTCACCAGATGAGAGCAGTGCTCCCGGGGCCGCTTCAGCTCCAGCAGCGCAGAATGGCTGCCTCTACAGCTGCGATCACATCCCAGGGTGTTTGTTGGGCCTGGCAGATAATAGCGGTGGGTGTCGCTTCTTTTATTCGAAGACGGATGGCTGCTCCTTTCCCCTGTACATCCTAATGAGGACAATTAAGTAGCCATTAGGGGGAGAAAAGAAGTGTGAACAAAGGCTGATGTCTGGATCAGCGAGGGGCGTCTCCACCAGGAGGGACTGGCTAGCGGGGAGGCAGGCTCTGTGTGCAGTTTCCTCGGCCTGTGCGCGTGTTCTGAGGGTTGGGGGTGAAAGGTTCGGAGTTCCCGTTGTGAGAAGTCCTAGGGACCTATAGCACAGCGCACCGCACGGTTATCATGCTGTATTATATGCGCCAGGATCTGTTAGGAGGGTACAGCTCATGCTAAATGTTCGCATCACAAAAAGAGAGGGGGCCCTGGCCGGTGGATAGAGCATGGGCCTGTGGACTGGAGGGTCCCGGGTTTGATTCCGGTCAAGGGCATGTGCTTTGGTTGCAGGCTCCATCCCCTGGTCAGGGTACGGAAGGCGACCAATCGATGTATCTCTCTCACATTGATGCTTCTCTTTCTCTGTCTCTCCCCCTCCCTTCCACTCTCTCTCTCTCTCTCAAAAAAAAAAAAAAAAAAAAGAGGGGAAGGAAACTGTTAATTAGAGGTGATGGATAGTTCAGTGTATGGCATTGTGGATGGTGATGGTTTCATGGAGTGTACTCACCTTCAAACTCAAAGCGTCGGCCTGTGGACTGAAGGGTCCTGGATTTAATTTCCGGTCAAGAGCACATGCCCGGGTTGCGGGCTCGATCCCCAGTAGGAGGCGTGCAGGAGGCAGCCAATCCATGATTCTCTCTCATCATTCATGTTTCTATCTCTCTCTCCCTCTCTATTCCTCTCTGAAATCAATAATATATATTTTTTAAAAAAGAGAAAAATGTTTACTTGTGAAACCTAGCCCTTTGAAAGGCTTCAGAATCCCCTCCAAACCTGGCCTATGGCCTGGACTAGTGGCAGGCGGATGGATCGCAGGATGAGGCAAAGGAGGAGAACGATCAAGCCGGGCTCCCATGCAATGGCCATGCCTGCCCCCAGAGCACCATTAATTCCCCCTTTTTCTGTCTCTCCTGCAGAAACCTGTCGAGTAACCGGCTCACCACACTCTCATGGCAGCTCTTCCAGACGCTGAGTCTTCGGGAATTGTAAGTCCGGTGTTGGAGACCGCCCAGCCTGGCGGAGTGGTGGTGGAGGTTGGGTGGGGAGTATTGAGCAACGGAGCCACCCGGGGCTGGGCGTCACCTGAAGGCGCTGCTGGGGTTGGTGACGTGGGGTGTACCATGTTCAGTGAGAGCCCGCCAGCCCGTCGCTTGATTTCGGATACTCTTTCCGGCACCTCACAGTTCCTAAGACAGGAATCTCGCTCTCAGCAGGACCCAGTTTTGTCATCGCTAGGTGATCAGTGCTAACGGCATGGATGTTTGTAGTAGGAAAGGGCATTGATCAGTTTATGGTAAATAACACGGATACTGTCGAACCTTGCAGTGGATCAGGCGTGCTTTCGTTTCCCAGACCTTAGCTTTACCGCCACAAGCATCCTGGGTGGCAGGCGGCGTGCTACTTCCTTATGCAATGGGCCGCTACACGTTCAGGTGCGGGTTCTGAGCCCAGAGTCATAGGAGACGCAGTGCTAACGGCATGGATGTTTGTAGTAGGAAAGGGCATTGATCAGTTTATGGTAAATAACACGGATACTGTCGAACCTTGCAGTGGATCAGACGTGCTTTCGTTTCCCAGACCTTAGCTTTACCGCCACAAGCATCCTGGGCGGCAGGCGGCATGCTGCTTCCTTATGCAGTGGGCCGCTACACGTTCAGGTGCGGGTTCTGAGCCCAGAGAGTCATAGGAGACGCAGCCAGATCACACTGTGAGGGCCTGGCAGAGCCGGGCCCCGAACCCGGGCCTCTGACCTCCGTTTGCTCGTCTTTCCCGCCTCCCATTCTCTGCCAGCCTGTCTGGCTTGGGCGTGGGCATCGGTCCGCCTGTGGCCTGCTTAGCCTTGCTGCGTTTCTAGGCGGATCAGTGTGCCCCTTCCCTGGCCAAACACATGATGGTGGGTGAGTGGCAATTCGTGAGCGCTGCCGAACCAAACAGCTCCTGTTGGTGCGTGAGTCATCGGGTCATCTCTGCCCGAGGAACAGCGAGTGATGTCGAGGGAATCAACCAGGGAATTCATTGCGAAGGAGCTGGGGAGCATGAACTTAGGGAGTCAGGGTTCCAGAGACTCAGCTCGGGTTCCCTGTGGCTTGTGACTCGGGCCCAGGTCCCTGCATGCAGACTGCCTCTCTGCCTTCACCACAGGCAGTGGCTGGGAGCCTGCCACGCGGTGGCCTTTAGCACGTGTCCTTCCAGCTGGTCCGGCCCGAGTTCCTTTTCCGACCCAGCGTCGGGGAGGGGAACACTTCATCCAGCATCCCAGCAGCCCATCACCCTCTGGCCGTGTCTACCCTGCTCACCCCCATGGGCATAGTGTCCTCGAGGCTTAAGGCCCCGCCAGGGCCGGGCAGGGCACGGACCGTCTCGTTGCCCGAGTCTGAGAGTTCGGGCAGTCCTGCTGCGGGTTGCTTTCCTTTCTCAGGACTTTGCCCTCCCACCGGCTGCTCCTCTTGTGTGGGCACAGTAGGCATGGGGATCAGGGTTCCTTAGTCCCATGGGGCTGTGACCAGGGGCACACCAGTAGGAACTCCTACCCGAGCTCGGAACAAGGTAAGTGCATACGTATTTGTGTATAAAGCACTGAAACGCTAGACGGTCACAGACATCTGACTGTCAGGTGGTTACACGCGAGTGTTGTCTGCGTTCCCATCTTTGAAGGTAGGGAAGCCTCAGAGGTAGCTCAACAGGACGGTGCCGTGCTAACGCTGTTTCTCAGGACCCACTCTGGGCAGGCACGGGGCCAGCCAGCCTATCGCGTGTTGGGCGGTACTTGCTTCAGTCCTTACAGAAATCCCATAGGGAGGAGTTATTACTGTCATTCACACTGGGGACACTGAGGTACTGAGGTTAAGTATCTGTGTAAGGTCACCCATTAACTCAGTGGGTAGCCAGTGGACTCAAGCTCTTGACCACTGTGCTCAGCTATCTCCCAACTTCTTTAGAAATTGCATTTATTGGGGTGACATTGGCTAATACAATTATATAGGTTTCAGGGGTACAATTCTATAACGCATCATCCGTACAGTGTATTGTGTGCTCACCACCCCAAGTCAGGTCTCCTTCCATCATCATCTGTCCACCCTTTATCCTCTTCTACCTCCCTACCCCCCTTTCCCAGCGTTTTCCGTCTGTTTCCAATCCAAGGATCTGTTCTACGATAATTTTCAAAGAATGAATGATCGCGCTTTTTCCATATGTAGCCCTAGGAGTGATCAGGGGCCCTGACATAAGGGAGCTAATTGGGGGCTCTCTTTTTTTGGGGAGTCTTGCATCAAGTTACCCTGGAGCGCCTGAGCCCCGCACCTGTGGGCGGCCAGGGACAGATGTTCTCTCCTGGGAACATCTGGGGCCTGCAGTTGCCTACACGATTGAGAAAACGTTCTGAAAAATCAATGGATGCGAAATCCGTGGTGTGCTGTCCTGGCGACCAGTTCTGTGGAGTTTTAGAGACAGTTGTTCGAGGATATATATTTAAAGCCAATGCCAGGCTCCTCCCAGAGGATCATGGGATTCTGCATTCATCTCTGCCCGGGATCGATTCACCATGCGCGGCATGTGACTTATGGAGGAATGAAGACATTCGTCCGCGCGAGTCAGTGCGTGAGCCCCTGTCCACGGAGCATTTCATTCTGTCGCGCTGTTAAATAGGAAAAGAATTCACTTGTAAGATAAAGAAGCCCCTCTGAGGAGCCATCGCCCTGGCGGGGGTCTATTTTTTGAGGAAGAATTGAGTGGCCAGAGTGGAAAATTTATCTTTTGGCCGGAGGGGCGGCGTGTTGGCTCTTGGCTGTGGCTATGATTAAAATCCAAACAATCTCAGTTCCTGGCCCGCGGGAGAGGGGGCAGTGTTTTCTTGTCCGACGTCCTGATTAGTCCACATGGCGCCATCTGCCAGGAGCCGTCAGGCTGCCAGGGTCTGCCTGTGGGCCTGTGGGCCTGTGGGCCTGTGGGCAGGGTGCGGGGTGGGCCGGCTCTTAGCAGGAAGTTAGAATTTCGCCCCGGAGGAGAGGCCGGAGGAGATGGCTCTGTGCGCTGTGGCAGCCAGAAGGGTGAGGCCGAGGCTCGAGCGACCTTCTGCAGGCACCGAGGGCAAACGAGGGCATTCAGCCATTTCTTTCTTTTTTAAAATATCTTTTTATTGAATTCAGAGAGAAAGGGAGAGGGAGAGAGAGATAGAAACATCAATGATGAGAGAATCTTGGATCGGCTGCCTCCTGCACGCCCTCTATTGGGGATGGAGCCCGTAACCCGGGCATGCGCCCTGACCGGGAATGGAACCCTGACCTCCTGGTTCATGGGGTGATGTTCAGCCACTGAGCCACACCGGCCAGGCCCTTTCTCAGTTACTTTTGCACGAGATGGAGGCTGTGGTCTTGGCCCTGCCACTGGTCCAGGTTGTGTCTCTCTCGCTGAGAGGACTGGCAGCGTCTTCAGAGTTGTCAGCACTGTTCCAGGGCCTGGCTTTGAAGAGATGCGAGTTGGCGTTGCTCAGTGATCTCAGAAGTTTCTGGTTAAGGCAAGATGGTGTTTTTTCTTACAGGGAAGACTGGAACTGCCTGGCAGAAATCAGAGCAAGAATCCGAGATTATCTTAGAGATAATGAATTGGCAAGAGAGAAGCTTGGATTCTGTGTCCCATGCTGTAATTTAGGCAAGAGGCACGGAGGATAGAAACTGACGGCACAGAACCCTCCAGAAATACCCCGGGGACCGTTCCCTTCATGCCCTGCACACACAGCAGGCGGGATTCAAATAGATTGGAATACTTCATTTTCTTAAAGCAAAGTGATCGTTACTCCTGCTACAATTTGCAGATTTAATCAACTTGGTGAAGGGTTAGCTCAGTATCGGGAATGGGTTTGAGCTATCCTGGCGCTATCCTTTCCCAGTCCTGGCCCGTGACCACTCCCCACGGATCTCCGAGAAGTCACTGAGCCCTCATGTTCATAATAGTGCAATCATCATCGTCATCATCTCGGCCACATTCACAAAGCACGTGAGCACACGTCACTAATCCTCACGATAACTGTGTGAAGAAGGAAGGCAGACACTGTTGCCCCCATTTTACAGACGGGAAAACAGAGCCTGGAGAATTAAGGTCCCGGCTGTATTGCTTTCCCAGCGGTGCCGTCCGGTATCACCATAAATCTGGGGGCTTAAATAAACAGAAACTGCTTCTCTCACTGCTCTGGAGGCCAGAGTCCAAAATCAAGACTCAGCAGGGCACGCTCCCCAGAGGCTCACGGGAGCTCATCTTTCCTGCCATTTCCAGCCTCCTGGCTCGTGGGTCCTTGGGTTGGAGCACCGGCGTCCGTCTTCTCACGCTGTCCGTGCGTCCTTCCCATCTCCTCGTCTTTGGTCTCTCTCCCCACTTTCCCTTATAAAGATGCCCGTCATTGGATTTAGGGTCCACCCTCCATCCAGAGTGACCTCATCCCACGATCCTTGACGTGATTACGCCCGTGAAGACCGTGTTTCTAACGCAGGCTACCTTCACGGGCGCTGGGGATGGGACTCGGCGTGTCCTCTGGGCTGGGGGACACTGGTCAATGCACGCTGGCTCCACCCAGGTCTTCTGGGTGCTTTTCCTGCCACCGGACTGTGTTGTCAGGCCTGTGCTGGCCCTTGGCCCTGTGGGCATGCGCTCCTCTGTGACAGCAGACCTGGTCCCTTCCTCAGTTTCCACGTCCTGGCCCTGGCCCGAGGACTGCCCCCGGCAGCCATGCTGTGAGGGAGGGGAAACCAGAGGCGACTGCTGAGCATCCAGGCTTCCTCAACACCCAGCCTTGTCCGAGGCCCCCAGCAGGGTGTCTGGCGCACATGGCCCAGGGGGCGGAGCGAATCTGGGAGCCCCCAGGGCCCTGCCATTAGTCCCGAGCCATCTGGGGGCAGGGCTGGGTGTGGGCCACCTGCATTATTGATGAGAGGGAGGGCCGCCCTGGAGGGTGCCTGTCTGTCCCTGCAGCCTGGCTGAGCTCCTGGCTCGGCCCTGGTCTCCTGGGCCTGCCCTGCTCTGCCCTCAGGATTGCTCAGGGGAGGCCACTGCTGACACTACATGCTTTCTGCTGCGTGTGCCTCGCTGTCTGGGAGGAAAGTGCAGACAGTTCCCAGGAGGCTCGGGGCAGAGGCGAAGACGGGTCTCATGTGCAATCCTCCTGCTGGATCAGGTCCTAGAGGAAAGAGTGGAAGGAAACAAAGGTGCTGTTCGTGGGCCGTGCTGGCCTGTCTTAGACACAGACCGCTCACCTACCTCCCCCGCCCCCGCGAGGAGCTGCCTCGGCTCAGGAGTCCCCTCCCCTCTCCTTGCCCACAGGAGGTTGGAGCAGAACTTCTTCAACTGCAGCTGTGACATCCGCTGGATGCAGTTGTGGCAGGAGCAGGGGGAGGCCAAGCTGAACAGCCAGCACCTCTACTGCATCAGCGCCGAGGGCTCCCAGCTGCCCCTGTTCCGCATGAACATCAGCCAGTGTGGTGAGTGCGCCTCCCGCCGCCCTGCTGCCCCGGGAGGGAGGCGGCCCTCAGACTCCAGAGATGGCGCCCCCTCCCCTTCGCCCTCCCAGCCTTGAACTGGGCCCTGGCGCAGATCCGGCTCATCTCTCCCCTCCTGGGCATCCCTGTCCCCTCCGGAGCCGCCCTGCGGAGGCTGGCAGAGGGGTCTCATCAGACCGCAGTACCTCCTGCCTGGGAGTCACTTGCCAGCCAGACCTGAGCACGTGTCTCCTCGCAGTGTGGCCCTGGACCTTTTTTTAAAAATATATTTTATTGATTTTTTACAGAGAGGAAGGGAGAGAGATAGAGAGTTAGAAACATCGATGAGAGAGAAACATCGATCAGCCGCCTCCTGCACATCTCCCACTGGGGATGTGCCCGAAACCCAGGTACATGCCCTTGACCGGAATCGAACCCGGGACCTTTCAGGCCGCAGGCCGACGCTCTGTCCACTGAGCCAAACCAGTTTCGGCCCTGGACGTTTTGTATCAGGAGCGTCTCAGGTGCTTCTAGAAAAGCGGGTGCCTGGGCCCAAGCACAGACCGCGACCTCAGGATGCCTGGGGTGGTCCCCAGGATCTCGGAGCTCATTTTGGGGGACCAGCTCCCCAGGTGGAGCTGTCACCTGACTTCTGGCTGGAGCTGCCTCCCCGTCCGTGCCGTGTGGGGGAGTCCCACCACAGCGGCTTCAAGTCCGAGGGTGATGTCCGCGGGGGAGGTGGTGTCAGGCCTCCTGAGAGCTCCAGCGGGTGATGTGGCGTCACTGTTGGGGGCCACGTTTTGGGAGTCAGTGTCTGCCTGTCCTCTCCGCCCTGTCCGCCCTCCAGACATCCCGGAGATCAGTGTGAGCCACGTGAACCTGACCGTGCGGGAGGGCGACAACGCTGTCATCACGTGCAATGGCTCTGGCTCGCCCCTGCCCGATGTGGACTGGATGGTCACCGGGCTGCAGTCCATCAACACCCACCAGGTAGGCACCTGGGCCCGGGCTGCACCAGGAGGCTGGGCCCCACCACCTCTTAGTCTGAATGAGACGCAAGAATCCAAGCCAGAGACGGGAAGAGAGGGAAGAAGAGGGACAGTCGTGGTCCCGTCTCTCCAGGAGGGACACGGAGACGTGCTCTTAGACGTGCTATGAAACTGCTAAGTACCTTAGTTTCTGCACCTGTAAAATGGGTACAGTGCTGCCATGCACCTCAGCGGGTACATGGGAGGCTGAGCAAGCTCTTGACTGGAGAGAGCCCAGCCCTCGGTCAGTGCGCGTTCGCCGGATGAGCCTCCTTTACTTTCCACTCAGTTTTTCCATTTTTAAAAAAATACGTTTTTATTGATTTTTAGAGAAAAAGGATGGGAGAGGGACAGAAACATTGATGTGAGAAAGACATGGATTGCCTGCCTTCTACTGGGGATGGAGCCCGCAATCCGGGCATTGAATGCCCTGACCTGGAATCGAACTGTGACCTCCTGGTTCATAGGTCGTCGCTCAACCACTGAGCCACACTGGCCAGGCTTAGCTTTTCCTTTTGATTCCAGAAGCTGTTTGGGGTGAGGTGGGGGAGCTGCCCTTGTGGAAGCTGTCTGATTGCCGTCTTTTTACCGCCGTTTTAGACAAACCTGAACTGGACCAATGTGCACGCCATCAACCTGACGCTGGTCAACGTGACGAGCGAGGACAACGGCTTCTCCCTGACGTGCATCGCAGAGAACGTGGTGGGCATGAGCAACGCCAGCGTCGCCCTCACCGTCCACTGTGAGTGGACGCCATGGAGGGGGTGGCTGTGTGCACGCCGGGCAGGAGGCTGGTCAGCCAGGAGGGGCAAGTCAGTCCTGGGCTAGTGACCCCAGGAAGGGTGTCCCTGCCTCTCGGACGACGGTGCCTCCCACTCAGCTGTGCCTTCACGACTCCTGGTTTGACCTGTCGGCCTAAAGGGTCGTGAGAGGGAGCCCTCCAGCCCTGGCCGATCAGGGTGCTCGGGTCGAGACAGACATCTCTTCCGCTCTGTTGGGGGGTGCCCGGGGGGCACCTCTGATTCCCTCAGTCTGTTCCAAGCAGGGTGGGGGTGGGAAGTGGGATTCCCGTGCCAGCTCCTGGGAGCTCTGTGTCCTGGCACCAGCTGGCCTCTCCCCGGCAGACCCTCCGCGCGTGGTGAGCCTGGAGGAGCCCGAGCCGCGCCTGGAGCACTGCATCGAGTTCATGGTGCGCGGCAACCCGCCGCCAACCCTGCACTGGCTGCACAACGGGCAGCCCCTGCGCGAGTCCAAGATCATCCGCGTGGAGTTCTACCAGGAGGGCGAGGTGTCCGAGGGCTGCCTGCTCTTCAACAAGCCCACCCACTACAACAACGGCAACTACACCCTCATCGCCAAGAACCCGCTGGGCACCGCCAACCAGACCATCAACGGCCACTTCCTCAAGGAGCCCTTCCCAGGTGAGGCCTGCACTCTGGGGCACCCTGAGTCCATCCCGGAGTTCCGGGGGGTAGGGGGAAAAGAGGGGAGGGGATGAACGGGGCATGGTGGCTGGAGAGGAAAGGCAGCATCCACAGTGATACTGTTAACCATGGTAATCAAACATACACAGGAGCGTAGTCAGCCACCCCCAGCATTTTGTGTAAAATAGATGAAGTGTCTGGTTTCCAGTAGCTGTCGCTGTTCAAACCACGACCCCTGAGAAGTACCCAGGTGGGCACAGGAGGGCATGGCATGTTCTGGTGGAGAAAGCAGGGTCTTGAGAGTTGGACAAGAAGAGCAGAGGCTCTTGACCCAGCCTTCTCTTTGTCAGGAGACTCTGGGCATAGTCGTTTGCTTTTCGGAGCCTCGATTTCCCCATCTGTGAAATGGGCACGATTGCACTGCTCCCGTCATGATCTTGAAGCTTTTAAATGGCTTACGGTGTATAAAGCACACAGTGATGGTTCTCCGCTCTGCTCCGCGTGTAACGGGCGAGTGAGCCAACCTCCTTCTACTTGCTGGTTAGGTCCAGGCTTCCAGGTCTGCGCGTGGCCCCCTCTCTCCTGCTCTGTGCTGAGCTGATGGGGGTGTCTGATGCTGTCACCTGGGATGTCGCCAATGTCACCTGCACCCGGGTCGTAACTGAAGTAATGAAAGAAAGACCTTTGGATATTTGGGAGGCGATTCTGTCTTTGTCTGGGCGAGAACATGCCAATTACCTTCCTGACGTGGGAGGAGTTCAGGGGCAGTGGTGGCGGCTTCTTCCCTTGGGCTCGGCAGCCGCTGCGTTTCTGTTAAGGAAGCCGTGTGTCTCTGACGGCCGTGGCGATTTGTGCCGGGAACATGCTGGGTGACCTCTGGGCCTCCGGTCCCCAGAAACCGTGGGTCTAATGAGATAAAGGAACGTGTAGAGTCTGGCACCTCTCTCTCTGTCACGCACGCACACGCACGCGCGCGCGCACACACACACACACACACAGGCGGGAGAGGCTGGCTCCGTGCGGCATCTGCTTGTGTGAAGGTGACTGAACAGCCACAGAGAACCAGGGAGCAGCGCCAGGCGGCCTCGTTTATCTTCGTGCAAAAAAACACAACCCGACACACCTCGAACTAGGCGCTCCCAGAGGGAGCCTGGGGAGAAACCAGGCTGCGTGGGAAGCTGCCTTCTTGCCCCTGCCGTCCGGGGCATGACGGAGCCACAGCTCATCAGACTCGCTGATGTCTGAGACCCCAGTGATCCTGTTTGGTCCCCCGTTTCCAGCGTCACCCCCACTTGGCCCAGTCCCAGGCCTCGGGAACCTCGCAGATGGCCACACTGGCTCTCTTTTGGGAGGCAGAGCGGTCCTGGCCCACACCATGGGGGTGGCCTTTGGATGCGCGGGGATGGGGCTCCCAGGGCCCCTTCCTACGGGCCGAGGTGCCCTGGTGACCTTATTCCCTCTCCCCAGGCCAGAGCTTTCTCAGAGGGCGGGCCAGACCTGCTGGACCAGAAGCCCTGGGGCGGCCTGCAGTCTGTGTCTTAACAAGCCCCCAGGTGACTCGGACGCTCCCTGGTTTGTGACCTGCTGCGGGGCGTTTGGTGGACTCTGTCCCCAGGAGGCGAGGGAGGAGGGGGCACAGAGGAGCTCATCTGAAGTCCTTTCCCCGCCAGGGCCACCCTGTGCGAGGGTTTGCTTGTTTTATGCTCCTGGAGGAAGCGGTGGATGATGGAGAGGCAGTGACAGGGAAACGATGGGCCAGTCGTGCCAGTGACAGAGCGGCTAAGCGTTCAGGAGAGTAATTATCTAGGGCCGTGGTCGGCAAACTGTGGCTCGAGAGCCACATGCAGCTCTTTGGCCCCTTGAGTGTGGCTCTTCCACAAAATACCACGTGCGGGCGCGCATGTACAGTGCGATTGAAACTTCGTGGCCCATGCGCATAAGTCAGTATTTTGTGGAAGAGCCACACTCAAGGGGCCAAGAGCCGCATGTGGCTCGAGAGCCACAGTTTGCTGACCACTAATCTAGGGGACCGGGCGGTGAGCTCACCCCTGCCGAGCCCTGGGTACAAAGGCGGTCTATGGGTGCCTTGAGGGTGTGGGGACATAATGATCAGGTGTGCCCCCTTCCCCCCCGCCCCTGCTCCCCCAGCTCCCAGGCAGCTCAGCACAGACGTTAAGAGCAGGGTTCTGAGCCCGGCTGGTGTGGCTCAGTGGTTGAACATGGACCTAGGAACCAGGAGGTCACGACCTATTCCCAATGAGGGCACATGCCCTGGTTGCGGGCTCAATCCCTAATAAGGGGCATGTGGGAGGCACCTGATCAGTGATTCTCTCTCATCATTGATGTTTCTCTCTCCCTCTCCCTTCCTCTCTCAAATCAGTAAAAATATATTCATTAAAAAAGAGCACCCCGGGCATCTGAAAGGGAATCTGTTTTGGGAGAAATAGCTCTGACAGTGGGGGTCCCTTTTGTTGACTGTTCATGAGCCCGAGACCCATGGAGGGGCGCCAGGAGGTCTCCCCAGTCCCAGGTGCATGTGCTTGGCAATACATGAGCGCTCCCAGGCTCCAGGCAGGGAGCCGAGCGTGCACGGTGACGACAGGAGCGTGCAGGCTCCATGCAGAGGAGTGGGGGCTCTGAGTGTGTTGGCACCTCTCCTCTCAGGCTCTGGAGCCAAGGCTGACCCCTTCTCCTCCGTCCTCCCCCCACTTCAGGCCTTTGGTCACCTGCGGTTTAGAAGAGGGTGGTGGCATGCAGGGCACCCTCAGGAATTGGGACTCAGTTCTGTTGCTCTCCCCCAGGCCCCACAGAATGACAACAGACGGGCAACCTGTGAACAGTGCGCGTATGGCACGCAGGGCTTCCTCAGAAGGAGCCTGCGCAGAGAGCAGCGCTTTCCCCACAGTTAGAGGGCGTTTGCTGGCGCAGCTTAACCCAGAGCCTGGTGACAGCGAGGGGTTAGTCAGGCCAGAGCACGGGGACCCCGTGCAGGGAAGGATGGATGGAGGGGTGGGTGGGTGGATGGAGGAAGGAGTGCTCACCCCTCAAGGGGGAAGCCGCCGTAGCCGGGGCCCGGTTAGACGTGCACATTCTCAAGACCCGCCCAGCCCAGACCCGAATCCGAAACTCTGTGGGGAGGACGAGTAATCCGTTTCTTTTAAAATTTTTTAAAAAGATATTTAACTTTTCTCTTGGAAATAATTTGAGATGAACTCCCCCTCCCCCCAAAACTTACAAAAAAGTACAAAGAACTTCCTTCTACCCTTCACCTCACTTCCCCAACTGTTAGCATCTTGTCTAACCGCAGTACAGCGCTCCCATCCAGGGCGTTGGCGAGGGCGCGGCTCTGCTATGGAATCTGCAGGCGTCAGTGAAATATTTTTAAAAATTCTTCATTGGTGAAAGTATTACATAGCCTCCTTTCCCCCATTGACCCCTTTAGCCCGCCCCCCCACTTCAGCACACTGTGTCCATGGGCTGTGCATGGATGCACGCATGTTCTTTGGTTGTCAGTGGTCCCACGGCCGTCTTTTCCTCCCCAGGACCCAACCCAGGGCTGCAGGTTGTACTCAGTCACCGTGTCCTCCTTAAATCCGGGCCAGCTTCTCAGTCTTTCTCCGTCTTGCACCGTCTGCGCACTTTTGAAGAATGCTCGCGGGCTGTTTTCTCTCTGCCCGTCTCACCATTCGGGTTCGCCCGATGTGTTCTCATGCCTGAACACAGCGGTGCGTTTTTGGCAAGCACACCACAGACGTGAAGCTGCGCCCTCTGTCTGTCTGTCTGTCCATCTTATCGCTGGTGATGCTGACCTCATCACTGGGTCAGGGTGGAGTCGGCCAGGTCTCTCCATGGCAAAGTGACCCCTTTCCCTTTGTCTGTAGTAAGGACCGTATGTGGGACGTTTGTAAATATCTTGTTTCTCACCGCTCTTTCACACGTTAATTTTAGCATTCATTGATGATCCCTGCCCGAAACAATGACTACTGTGCGATTTGCCAAGTGGTGATTTTTCTATTCTCATTCTTCCCTCTGCATCTACTAACTGGAATTCTACTGCAAGGAAGAGCTTTCTCTTCTTCCTCATTTGTCGATTCAGTTATTTATTTGCTCTTGGTATGGACTCATGGATATTTATTTTGCCCTATGGCTTATAACCCATGTGTTCGTTGTCCCTGGAGGCCCTAACAAGGTACCAGAGACTGGGGGTGGG